TCTCTGTTTCAGTGTTTTGGTATCAGAATGGAAAGGATGATGTCTTTGTGGCACAGTTGGTGACATGTACTGCTACTATCTTTGTCAGCTAGAAAGGAATAGTGTAACATTTCATTTTTAAACCTGCGAAACCTTTCCACTCATTTTCATTTGGCTGAGACAAAGAAAATAGCCTGGATTTCATGTGTTGGAAGCATCTCTAGAGTCCAAGTAAAAGGGAGAGTAGGCTGGTCCATTACTGTGTTCTGCAGCAAAAGGACTGGCTGTACCTGCAGTGGTCCTTCAGCATGGAAACTAATGAAGAAATTAAAGCAAATGGGTACTGACTGACCATTTTCAGGCCCTGCTCTAGTCACATGAGGTCTGTGGAGTATCACCAGCGTGCTGCCACAGTCAGCTCAAGGAAATGAAAATGAAGTTGCCTTCATCTGGAAGTGCCATATTAGCCCAGTGCTGTGGCTGTTGGTCTTGTTGTGACAACTGACAAATATGAAAACAGTGACTTAAATATGGAAACAGGCTGGGACTGTTTCTGTAGAAGGCACAGAGGTTGGTGTCTGAGAGCACAAGTGTCTGTTTGGTTCCCAGTGGCACTGGGGTTTCTTCACTCTGCAGGCAGTGGAAGAAGGGTAAGCTTTCAAGTCACTGTGTGGAGGTGCTAAAGAGGAGAATAGGCAGGGAATGCCAAGACTGTTTGCGAGGCTGATGAGAGCATGAATTCAGGATCCAGCAATATAACATTGCAGACCCTTTGTATATAGTATATGCCAACAGTATAAATTAATGCTGGACTGCACTTTGGCCTTAAATTTTTATTTTCATGCCTTTCTTGATATTTCATGCCTGTCGTGAAATTTGATAATTTTGGAGTTCTAATGTGACTAATTCTTACTGCTCTTAAAATAGCAGCTCAGTTACAGTCAATATGCAGCAATACTTAGGAGTAAATGTGTCTGGGAAAAAAATTGTTAATTTTGTGAAGACAAAGGTCCATTATGTTACATTGCTTCACCATCCTCACAGTGCCTTGCATGTCCCTAATACCAGTTCCTCTCTGTCAAGCATGCAATTATTTGCATTACCATGCACTGAAGGTGGTTTATGTGAGAATAACTGCTGTGGGGTGGTGCAGGAGCACAACGAGCCGATGTGAAACCTCTGCCCTTTGGTGCGAGCAGGAGATGCAGAAAGCCTGTGTGAGTGCTCCTAATCCAGTGCCCCTTCCCTCCTAATGTTGACCTCTATTCCAGTAGCTGCACTTGATTTCTGCCAGGCTTTTCGTGACCCCACGCAGCAGCACAGTCCCAAATTAATAAGGATCTGTGTTGACAGCTGCTTCAGAACCTTCTGGCCTCTGCCAGGGATTTTTTTTTCCCTTTGTGTGCAGGATGTTGGATGCAGCACCCCAGGATTCCTTCTGCTGGTTGCTTTCCTGTGCAGGCTCAGGGAATCTCTGGGTTTTTGCTTTCTTTTGCAAATTAACTGCTGCAAGGACAGTTGTTTGTGTACTGTTGAGATGTGGCCACTGAAGGGAGTGGAAAGGAAATGTCTCCTGTTGTGTTCTACCAGTGGAGGCTGTGCCTGAGTCTCCTCTTGAATATGACTTAGAAATGGCATTGAACCCGTGCATCAAGGTGTGCTCCTTGCATTCAGTCATCATGGCAGCATTAATTAATGATTTGCTCTTTATTTCTTTGCCAAACACTGGCTGGGGTTTTGTTCTCTGCGCTTTTGTTATTGCGGTAATGGCGAAGTTTCACCGTCGCGGTGCTTCCACGAATCACTTTTGAGAATTTGCACACCATCTGTGTGCAATAATAAAGCTTTTAGCAACTCCAGATTGCTGTGCTCGTGGTGGGGGTGTGGATGGAAGCCAGCCCAGTGAATTAAGGTCATGTCCCTACTGGGGACAGAAAGCAAGCTCTAGGTAAAACGATCTAGACAATCCCTGGGAGAGGCATCTGTTCCTGGTAGGACTTTGGCAATCGTGGTTATGGCTGTTAATCTTCAGGCTTCCAGCCACTGCAGGGTAGGAGAAGAGATGTGGAGACTCACTCCAGGCATTTATGGACACCTGCAGGAAAAATACGCCATGTTCTTGACAGTCATAGGTGGATGGAAAGTATTGTTGAGTAGAAAATGTGTAAAATGAGCCATGTGGGTTAAAAAAAGATAAGTAAACATGGTACAAAGCAAAAGAGACAACAGACACTTTTCAGACAAGGTTTTTTAAAAGGATTAGTACAAATACTGAATCTCTCAGTGGAGAAGTTCTTCATAATACCAACGTTTTAAGAACCTGACATTTACAACATTGAGGAGAAAGTAAAAAGCTCTTGGATATAGGTCTGTGTGGGAGGAAATGTCGAAAGGAAAAAACCATGAACTGTTGTACCAGATAAATACGCTATATTAAGAAATTACAACGTGAGAGGGACATCTTGTGGCACAAATAAAATAAAAAATAATAGTCCAGTGGCAGGAGGAGTATCCTGGAATGTTACCCCGGGGTCACCATTTCTGGTAGAAATTCCAGGCCTGGCAAGAGATTAATTTGTTCCAGTCTTTCTTACAGCAGGAGTCTTGCTACACACTTTCTCATCTTCCCACTTTTTTGTCTCCATGAGCAGAGGATTACAGAACACAGACGTTCTACCAAATATACTTGTCTGTCTTGGTGCAAATGATACTAGTTTTTAATGAAGAAATAGATTAAAATGTCACTACCATTATTTGACTGAATGTGTTGTCATCAGTAGCATAAAATGTGACAGAACTTTAGCTGTGGGTGGTTAACACTTATTTTCCACTTGTATCACAATCTTATTTCCATATGTTCGTATAAATTAAAAAGAATAAATTTAATTTGCAGGAGTACAAAGGGCCACGATTGTGTACAATCAACCGAAATTAATCCTACCACGTGTCTGTGAATCTCGGTGTAGCCTTGTCAGTGTGTCTGAACCTCAAGATCCCGTGTTTGATTAGTTTTGATCACGTGGTGATAAAAGTTTAATTATCTTTTTTAAGCAGTAGTTTTCCCCAGAGTTGTCGCTGTAACTTTGACTGATTTCTTGAGTACCTGTTCACTGCCTTAGATGAGGCTGTGCTGTACCTCGGTGTAGAGTGGGAGAAGTCTCTCCAATGCAGCAGTTTTCAGTCCCAGCAGACCTCAGCCAGTGCTTTCTGGAAGTGGTTCCTCTCAGTGGGCTGGTTGTGCCCCGGAGCAGAGCTGGGGTAGCAGGTGCTGACCCCCAGCCCAGTTACCTTCCAGTTGCACCTTACCCCCTTGGCCACTTTGGGCTGCTGGTGAGGGGTGATCAAGAGGAGGAACTTGAGGTGTTGCTGGTTTGGGTGTTTTAAACAAGCTGGAGTAAGTTGGCAACAGCAGTGAACAGAGTTATTGCCCTCGGCTTCGGGGAAACAATAGAACGGCAGTTAAAGGGAAAACCAGACAGAAATACCTCTCAGCTGGATGAGTGTTGAGCTTGTACTTCTCATAAAAACCTGAACATCGGGCAGGTTTTGATTTCATGGTGCATCTTCTGTTTAAAAATTCCTGCAACCAGATGTTGTTTTGGTCAGGCTCACAATTTCCATTGCTACCTTGTTTTTATACATCTGAGATAGAAAGTTCAATGTATGTTGTTTTCCTGGGGATGTTTATAATGTGTCTATTCGTGCCTAAGGATCCAGAAATACTATTTGAATCAATCGGTATGTAAATCATTCTCTGCTTTGGAAAGATAGGAGATCATTTCTCCAGCAGTAATTCAATCATAGCTTGTTTTTTGTAAAACCACAATGCCCTTGCCTAAATTTAATTCAAAGTTTATGTTTCCTAGCTACAGTTCTAGTACTTCAGTTGCCATGAGTAGAAACACCATAAATTGTGACAAAAATGAAGGACAAGAGTAAAGGGATCTTTTTGGAGTAAGGATGGGGTGGAAGCCCCAAGTTTTTGTTTTCAGGCTTTTGCACAAGATGAACTAAAAATCTGCCAAGTCATGCTGTTGTCCAGCACAGATTTTTGACCAACACAAGTGTTTCATAAAATGGAGGTTTTTTTGCTACTTACAGGTCAGGTACAATCCTGAGCATTGCAGCGTGGTTGCTTTGGCCACAATTAATTATCCATTAGGAATTGCACAGAATGACCAGTATTAGGCTTAGGTTAACCAAAACCTTGGGTTTGTTGGCATTGGTTGAATTCAGTGTGTGGACTTAGGCCTGTCAGGATGCCAGCTGCACACTTTGATGTGTGCCTAAATGATCTGGATTGCCAAAGAGCCTCACTCCAGTCTCTTGGTTTGATCCGATGGAAGATCAATTCCCACAGCGATGGGCCTGTCCTAAGCTGTGCCAGTGGGGCAGTTTGGTATCGGGGCAGAGAATGAGCTTCCAAATACCATGGGAACGTGTTTTCCAGCATGTCACCTGCATAAAACACTCTTGACAAACAACAAACAATACCCATCTCTTGTTATGCCTCTCTGCCTTCAAAGAGGTTTTCCTGGTTAAATAGTGTGATGGCGTTAGCTCATGGTGTGAACGCAAGTTTAAGAGCTGTGCTGTGAATCTCTCACGTGTTTGCTGGCTGGAATGTCGTTGGTTTCTGGTTTGGTGTGGGGCGTCCTGGGGACTGTCAGGGACAGCAAGTCTTTTTGCGTTGTGTATGTGTGTGGAGGGAGGTGCCTGCCTACCTGGAGCTACATCTGGATTAACGGTGGGACACCATTCTCAGCTTTGCCCTTGGTGTCAGGTGTCTCCTAAACAACACACACCACGCCTAGCAAGGGCACGTTTATTCCAGAATAAGTATTTCCCCAAAAGGGCTGGGATGGAAAAGCCTTAAGTGACGACGAACCGCGTGAATGCACGCCCGCGGTGGGCGGTTGTCGCTGGCCGTGCAGAGGTGCCGGGAGGAGGAGCAGGGAGCATCCTCGGGTGTGTTGGTGCGTGTGTCCCTGCAGCGCCGGGGTGCGGAGGTGTGTGTGTGTGTGTGCCTGCAGTACTGGGGTGCGCGGGCAGGGCCGGGACCCGCGTGTTCTCCGGGCGCGGCGGGGTCGCTCCGGGTGATGCTCCCACCGCCATCCGCCGCTCGTGGGCCGGGCCCTCCGGGCGCCCCGTGAGCGGCCCCCGCCGTGCCGGGGCTGCGGCCGGCGCTGCCCCGCTCCCCTGGACGAGGGGCGGAGGGGCTGCGGCCCCGCTCCCCGCCGGGTCCCCGCCGCGCCGCGCCCTCCCCCGGCTCCCGCCGCCTCCCTCCCCTTCCTCCCGCCTCCCCGCCCCCGGCTCCGCATCGCCGCGGCCGGAGCACACGCCGCCCGCCCGAGGATGCTCCGCGCTTTTGTTCGCCCGCCGCAGGTAGGGCCGGGGCGGCGGGGCCGGGCGGGGGGCGGCGGGGGCGGCGGGGCCGGGGCGGCGGCGGGGCCGGCAGAGGCGGCGAACAAAAGCGCCGTGCAAAATGGAGCCAGCGGAGAAGGGCTGGACCCCCGCCCTCCCCGCCGCGCATCCCCCCGCCCGCCTGCCGGGGCTCCGCGGGGGCGGCATCGCCTACCGCTGCCGCCGGCGGGGCCCGGGCCCGGCGTGGGGAGGGGACCGGGGCTGGAGCGGGGCCGGCGGCGAGCGCTGGGCAGGGCGTGGGGAACGAGCGGGGCGGCGGGGAGAGGCGGTTCTGTAAAACACTTTCCCCTTCTCTCTGTCAGCCTTTGGGAGGACTCTCGTCCTGACTCGCTGAAGGTTCCTCTCCCTCTTCCCCCAGCCCCTCGTCCCTGCTCGGCGCGGCAGCCCACCCGGGCGGGCACCAATATCAGCCCTCTCCCGTGCGCCGGGGAAGTTGCTGACATGCCTGCCGCCGGGTCCCGGTGCACCGGCAGCGGCGGGGAGCCGGATTTAAAGGGGAGTTGTGCTGCAGACAATGCACAGCAGCAGCATCTGGAGCAGCCCTGGGGACCGGAGCTCCGGTTTTGACATTGCTGCACGCACAGCACCAGCCGCAATGACAGCAGCTGCCTGGAGTGGCTGCAGGCAGCAGGCAGGAGCATGAAGTAGAGCGATCACTGCAGTGCTCAAGATGAACTCCTCTTTGGTTGGCAACCAGAGTGGCCGGCCCTTCTGTCTCCTGGCCATTAGCTATTTGGAGACCATCAATTTTTGCCTCCTGGAAGTGGTTATTATTGTGTTCCTCATGGTGCTGATTATTTCGGGCAACATTATTGTGATATTTGTCTTTCACTGTGCACCTCTGCTGAACCACCACACCACCAGCTACTTCATCCAGACTATGGCGTATGCTGACCTCCTGGTGGGCGTGAGCTGTCTGGTGCCTTCTTTGTCTCTGCTGCACTATCCTATTGTTTTGAGTGAGTCTTTGGTTTGCCAAATCTTTGGTTATGTGGTGTCAGTGCTGAAGAGCGTCTCCATGGCCTCCTTGGCCTGCATTAGCATTGACAGATACATCGCCATCACAAAGCCGCTGACCTACAACACGCTGGTTACCCCGTGGAGGCTGCGAATCTGCATCCTGACCATTTGGCTCTACTCCTGCCTGGTCTTCTTACCCTCCTTTCACTGGGGAAAGCCTGGATACCACGGGGATGTGTTCCAGTGGTGCGCCAATTCCTGGAACACCGACCCCTATTTCACCCTGTTCATTGTGGTGATGCTCTACGCCCCGGCCGCCTTCATCGTCTGCTTCACCTACTTCAACATCTTCCGCATCTGCCAGCAGCACACCAAGGAGATCAACGAGAGGCGGGTGCGCTTCAGCTCCCAGGATGGGGAGGCTGGGGAGGCACAGCCCTGCCCGGACAAGCGCTATGCCATGGTCCTGTTCCGCATCACCAGTGTCTTCTACATCCTGTGGTTGCCCTACATCATCTATTTCCTGCTGGAGAGCTCCAATGTCTATAGTAACCGCGTCGCGTCCTTCTTGACCACTTGGCTTGCCATTAGCAACAGTTTCTGCAACTGTGTCATTTACAGTCTCTCCAACAGTGTCTTTCAGAAGGGGCTGAAGCGCCTCTCGGGGGCCATCTGTGCCTCGTGCGCTAGACAGAGGGTAGCTAAGGACTCCTCTACCTCTAGGAGCAAAAGATCTTCCAATGGATGTCATGTCTAGGACGCCTGTCAGCTGGACTGGGAAGTGCAGGGACGATTCCGCAAGTTGCGAAATAAGTTAGATACGATTTTAAGATGTCCAGATTTGCAAAAAGGTTTCTGAGAAATGCTGCTGACATAGAAGAATCAGGAGCACATATCGTTGTGGTTTCACTTTAAAAAATGATTGCTGTGGAGGAGGCTGTGGAGTTTCACCTCCATATTCATTTTAAAGAATAAAGCTGTATCTTGACACTTACCTCTCCAGCTGGTGTGACTGAATGGAGTGGGTGTCTGAGAGCTTCGGCAAAATGTAGTCTTTCTTACAGCTTTACTGGGTTCTTTGGAAATTCGTGCTTCACATGTAAATGATAAAGCTGAAGTGGAAATGTCACAGTCTATGGTATATTACAGGGATTTTTTTAATATATGCCAAAGTATATTGACACAACGTTCCAGCGTCAGAACAGAAGGGGCCAAACAATTTGTTTTTCAGTGCTACCTAGACAGGACTTGTAGAACAGGAGTGAACAATGTGAACATTTCAGTGTGAACTCAGTTTTAATGAGCCGTGAGTGCAGCGATGTGATCTGAGCAGTCGTAGGCTTGGGGCTGATCTGGGTCCGTGCCCTGTTTCCCTGGTAGGATGCATGTTTGGATCAGAGTATGGCATCTGCGTTTTCCTGTTTGTTGTGAAGTAAGAAGAAAAACTTGGATCAGACCAAATTTAGCAGTTAAATAAAATGTGTTTTGATAAGCTATGAGAAAATACGTGTTGCTTTATGATACCGGAGTTGTGGCAGCCACTCAAAGATGATGCCAACATGTGAAAATTATTCTCAAACCAGTGGAGAAATGCCACGAGTTTGTATGTGGAAATTTTCTCAAGAACAACTTTAAAAATAACATGTCCCTTTTTTTTTTTTAATCTAAATTCTTCTGATATTTTACATACTAGAACTTAAGGGGAAAGGAAAGAAAACAATTGTCTTCTAAACAGCTAAGGGAACTATGTTGTAAATTTAACTGTAGTATTTGAGTTATTCATAAGTGCACAGAGCTAAATCAGAGACATTTTTCTTTAGCCTTCATGGGATTAAAGATGGTTCAAATATAGCAGGAGCTAAATCCTGTTGGCAAACGCATATCTAACTGGTCAGACAAAGGCAATATCTGAGAAACCAAATGTCATTGACCACATTGTTCGAGCTAGCCTAGATTAAATGTTTGGAGTACTGGAAAGCTGTTAAGAAGGCAGTGTGGCAGAATTGTTGAGTTTTTCCTAAAGAATATCCTTTTTACTGATGCCATTTTGGAAAATGCAAGTGAACCGAGTGTTCCTGTAATAGTGGGTTACAGTTGTATTGTCCTGTGTCTGCCTGTCCCTCCACCACACCTGCTCTGAGGGCAGGTTGTGCATCCCCTGTTTATCCCTCCGTGGTGCTGCGAGCTCAGGGAATTCCCTGAGCTGCTCTGGTACAGCTGGTGTGTGCTGTTAGTCACAGTGGGAACGAAGAAGGGTTAGGGAAAAGGAATTGGACCATTTTAGAATTGGGGTAATTCTCTTGGCCAGAGGGAAGACTGTGTTTTTTTTAAATGGTGTCAAGTTGTCTGTTGTTGCAGATCAGGATCATCTTTTCAGTGCTCTGCCCTGTCCCTCCAGCAAACACCCCCCTCTTCTCTGCTCTGCTGGGAGCCCTTTGCCCTGGAGGATCCCAGCCCACGTCTCTGCCCATCACATGCCAGGATTGCTGCAGTCCCTCTGCCCATCCACATTTGCACCAGAACAGTCTCGTGGGGCTGCCAGTGAGGAAACAGGGAAGGGCAGAGAGAGCAGGATGAAGTACTCCTGGCACAGCCTGTGCTTGTGAGCACTCAGTGCTGATGTACTTGGTTCCTCTCGGGGGTGTGTACCTGTTCTGGGGAGGGTGGGGCAGAACCGCTGCTGCTGCTGCCCCATTCCCTTGGGGACCCCAGTGGCAAAGCATTTAACTTGTATCTTGATCTGCTCCCAACATGTTCCATCCCCAGTCCAAACCTCTCCAGATAAACTTCCTCCTCAGTTCATCTGCAATGTGAAGAACACAGGTTGTGTAAACCCTGATGCCTTCCCATGGACATCTCCTGTTCTCCTCTGTAGTAAGGCAGAGTCTGGACCACGGCTTGGGCCGGGTCCTCCAGACGTGGCAGAGGTGATTTGTTCTGCAGAGCCCTCGCAGTCTGAATGTTGGTTAGACACAGACAGCCGTGGGGGGAGTGCAGGGGTGTAGTGAGTCATTTCTGAGTGGTATAATAAGCTCCCAGCACATCAGCTGGTAATTGTTCTCCAGCGGTTTGTGGGTATTATGGCACAGGTGGGCTTTGGGGAACAATTTAAGGGCTTTAGTCACTAATATCAAAGTGTGTGTGTGTGGTATTTTTGGAACAGCCTCTCAGGTAAACTCCCAATAGCTTTTCTCTGCTCTTCACCTTATCTAACATTTCCGAGTCTTTGAAGTGATGCAATGTATCATTGAAATAGCATTTGATTAAAACTTAATGGAAGAGAAGAATCTGCTGGGGCCTAAAACCCCAGAAATGGCAGTTTCAGGTTTAAGTGGAAGCAAAGATTGTTGCTTTTGGTTTTTTTCACAAATAGAGAGTATCATTGTGTGCTATTTTTGGAGAATTTGGAAAATGTTTAAAACGGGTAAGGGGTCTGAATCATGGCATAGAGGTTTAGCTGGAGCTGAAGCTCTGAGCCTGGAATTGTGCTTGGAGCGCAGTGGCTGTTCCAGATGCAGATCCATGCCTGCAGCTGTTGCTGCTTTGCAGCTAAGGCTCAGTTCTACATTCCTGACAGCCAGGCTGTTTTCAGTTGCCTTACTCATCTCCAAGTCTTCCTCAGCTCAGATAATCTCTGGGAGAGGTGAAAATCGGAATCTGGAAGTCTCCAAGAGATGAGGATGGAGAGGAGTTGCAGCCAATTGGTGCATTCAAGTTTCATCCAGTGTTTGTACAGACACTTTTAATGTTGCCTCAGTAGCTTAGTTTTAGGTTCAAGTATTTCTCTTTTTGTCTGTGTTAATTTATTGATTTTTTTTTTTATAATTTAAATTACGAGGTTTTTTTTTCTCTAAGTTAATTTAATGTTGATGTAGGTTTGTTTGTGATTAGATGTTTTAAGTATTCATAACATTAGAGTCTGTTGTCTTCATGGACTTGCAGGGGGTGACTCCTGTTCACTGTGCCAACTGGAAGAAATAATTTTGCCACACATTACCTTGTTTGCTCAGCAGCCCCTTGAACACCCTTTGTCATGCAGCTCACACGAGGCATGGGGGGGATCCTTTTCCTCACAGTCTGTGCTAGGAATTGTCAGGCAGCAAACTTTGCATTTGGCTCGTTTTCCTCCTTGTACACATGAAACTAATCCTTCCCTGGCTCCGTTTGTGCCCGAGTGTGCCGGTGCTCGAGAGCACTGCACAGATAAATGCCACTCTGAGGAGAGTACAGAAATCAAATTACAGCCTCATGAAAATTGTGTTGTGATGTGATTAAATGAACTAATTTTGAAGTTCCATCTCAGACTATAAACTGATTTTTTTATTAGGGTTATCTGCCTCGCTCTCAAATTAAGCTGCTGGAAGGTTCAATTTGCAGGATGCAGTTCAGTGGCTTTTTTTAGTGCCATGGGAAGGATTTCAATACTCACAACTTCTCAGAAGGTGATAATTTGCTTCATCTAGAACACTTTATTTTTATTCTTTTTAAGGATTACTGGAAGTTTAGGTTGTGATTATTTTGTCATTTTCCAAATAGACTGGGAGAATATCTGTGAAATATTATTTTTTTATGATCTCAATCAAGTGACAGTATTTTTAAACTCAACAGATATGTTTTGTGTGAAACAACAGTTTTGCTGTTATGCTACTGCTATTTTTTTTTTAATTAAATGTTACCAGTTTCTGCAGTCTTGATTTGTTGTTGGGGGTTTTGTACTTGTTTTTAAGCTTCTTATCGCTCAGAGTGTTTCTTCTGGTTGGAATTCTGACATGGCTCAGTGTCAGAGTGCCAAGGGGCAGTCTTGGATATTTGTCACAAGTCTTTAACAGGAAGAAAGTGGTACAAAGTACTAAGGCACAGAGAATTGCAGGAGAACGAGAATTCCCAAACTGCACCCCTGTGGCATTGTCCCTGCCCTCTCATAGAAAGCTTTTGCGTGTAAGAATCCTAAATTTCAGCAGTTTGTTCGGAAAAAGGCACTTCCAAGGCCTGGGTGTGATGCGAGATGGAAACATTCAGTGTGCAAATTTAATATGCAGATTTTTTTGCTGTTTGTTGTGATATTCCCAACTGCTGCAATGATCAAGGATCTAACTCCATGAGTCGGGAAGTCTGAAATATTTCAGTCTCATCTTACTTCACATCAGGGTTGGAAGTTGGCTGAACTTTTCCTAATTCAGGTCGATACTTTAAAAAATATTTCTTAGGAACCAACCAGTGTGTGAGTGCAGGAATCTGCCTTGAGACATTACAAACAGAAGGCCCATTTGACATTTTTCTGATTACGTGATTCATCCATTGTGGGTAATTTTAGTTTAATAAGAGGAGGTGGTGGTTTTGGAGGGCTTTTGTTGTCGTTGTAACACATTTTTGGTTCTGAGTACTTGAAGCACCTGCTGAAACATTGGCCTGATTTGGCCCTTATTTTGTTTGGTTTAGAAATGTTTTTCTTCCCTTCTGTGACTTTGCAGAATACAATGACACATCCTTCCCATGGTGTCATTCCAGATAACCTTGGATTTTAATCCACGTTTATCCAAACTTTAATATTCTTTGATATTCCTTACCAGATGAATACTGGAGTGTGTATGGGGCTGTGGTCAGGTCAGAGCATTGGGCCATCAGGTTTTACAGACTGTCTCCATGAAGGCAAGCAGCCCCTCTTTTAGGATGATGAAAACAACCCATTTTCACTAGAAGTGTCCTCCTGGCTTGTAGAGGTCAATGTCTCAATTCCAGTTGTTTTTTCCCTTCCTGTCTGTGCATTGCAGAGATACCACTTCAAAAGACATTTCTGCAGTTAAATAAAGGCATTTAATACTAAAGTTATGTATGTAAAATGCCTTTGGAAGAGGACAGCACTTCGGAATTAAAATCCAATAAGTTTAGGACCAGGTGCAGTTGTATTTAGAGACAGAAACTGAAAGTTGTCGCCAGGGGAAACAAAGAAAGGAAACCCACTGGAGTTTGGTCAGAACAATGGGGTATTTAATTGGGGTCATTTTCTTTACAATGCACATTTTTTTAAAATGTGGAGTTTAACCTTCTTGCTTTTGCTTTGCTGCTCTCTGGAGGCAGCTCCTCTGAGCCTTGGGGCTGCTGCACCCACCACAACGGGATTCCCTGCAGGCCTGGGGTGGTGGATCAGCCCCTCATTTGAGTTCAGGTAAAGGGGGGTAACGTCAGGCTCTGTCATGATTGTCTGTCTGAGGTGTTCCAGCCCCAGGGAAATAATCTGGATGGTATAGTTTGTTTACTTGGCTTTTCAGGGTTTTTTTTTCCTGTGACATCATTTTCTAGACAAATGAAATGTTTGCTTATGGAGGCAGCTTTGCTGCTGGTTCTCCACGCAATACTGAGCTCTGTCACCTCTCAGCTCTTACTCCCATTGCAGAGTTGAAAACAAGCCACAGGCTGTGTCTGCTCTACAGGCCTGTGGTGGTGGCTGCAGATGGAAGTGGTTGTGGCTCTCGCCCATATCCCATTTGCATC